CGGGGCAGCCATTTAAATTTAAATGAAGCCGCGATTATTTTAATCGCGGCTTCATTTCCCTCTTCCCATCTGGCTAATCTACATGCCTCCGTCGAAGGAGGCATGTAGTCTAGACACACCCCAGATGTTTAAATGCAAGGGTGTGACAACGGGCTGGAGTTCCTCTGATCCTGAAGCCGTGTAGCAGCAAGAACAGATTCCACCAGCCAGTAGAATAGAGAGGGTTTATTGCTTCTCTCAGATACAGCACAGCATAAACGTGATGTGTCTACATGAGTCTAGGCTAGGATGCCTCAGACCCCTTGAGATGGGGTCCCTGGGCCCCTAGATTCCAGCCCCCTCCTTAGACTGGTTCCTTCATGATTCCAGCCCCAGACTGACCCTTCCCCCAACCCTCACTTCCTAGTTCCTTCGCTGCCCTCAACCGGTCAGACTCATTAGGGCTAACTCTGGACACCGGCCAGTAGGAGTCACCCACAGCCCAAGCATAGCGACCAGCAAGGTACTGACACTACATCACAAAGGGGAATGGGGCGGGGGCAGTGCTCCTGTCGGACCAGGGGTTGAAAGGGGCTAGGTGGGATGACCCAGATGGGGTCTTCAAAGTATTTGAAGGCTTCAATATCTGAGATATAGGTGAGAGGATTATTCTAGGTGGGGTGGGTGAGATTCTGTGGCCTGCACTGTGCAGGGGGTCAGACTAGATGATCATAATGGTCCCTTCTGACCTTAAAGTCTATGAGTCTATGAGTCTATGACTGTAGGCTGGTCAGCCCAACGAAAGTCGTGGGCAGAGTCCTGGAGAAACTCCCGTGGGGCTCAGCCAATACTGACATGAAGGGCAGGAGCGCAGTGCTGTGGAAATAGGGTTTGTGAGACAAACCTGATTTCAGGTTCTGCTCAGATCAGTGGCGGCCGGTGGCTGGTCAGCGGTGGCTTTGGCACAGCCAGCGAGGAGGTCGCGAGGTGATGTGCGCTGCACAGGGGGTCAGAGGAGAAGATTTAAGGGAGGGTTCCTGGGCCTGAGAGCAGGTTCCAGAGGGCAGCCGGGCTAGTCTGTGTCCGCAAAACCAGCCAGGAGTCCGGGGGCGCTTTGCAGACTCACATGTATCCGGCACAGCGGTCCAGCTCGCTCCTCGGATGCTGTCTGCACAGACGGGGCGGGCAGCTCCTCTCTGGCCAGGTTTTGCCTTGCTAGACACTTGAGGTGTCCTGAACAGGCTTAAATACACTTGGCAGAGAGCCCCCGTTGCAGCTCTAGGACGGGCTGTAGCGCACCGCCGTGAACCCGCAAGTTCAGCCCCTCAGCCACAGGCGCTGTCGTTTAGTTTTCCTAAGTGGGTGCTCTGCTCTGAGGCCACGCGCATTCTACCTGTGCTCGGCCCAAGGCCACGCCCACGCCACCTGTGCTTGTCCCGACGTCACGCCCCCATTCCACTTCCGCTCTGATCCGAAGCCACGCCCCCTAGGAAGGCTCGAGACCCCCCTCCCTTTGCAATGCACCCGGCCTTGGTTTCTGGGTTGGGCGGGGCACGCTGGGTGTCTCCGGGTGAAGAACTGGCTGAGTGGAAGCGAAGTCAAGGGACGCGCTTGGCATTTCCTTGGCAGCCCGGGGTCTCTTCTGTCCTGTCGCAGGGAGTTCCACAGCTCCGGCCCGAGCTTCCCAAGGTGGG